ATATATATATAATTTTATATAATAATCTAAAATTTACTACATTGTTATTAATATTATTTAGTTACTTTTAACGTCTTCTAAAAAGAATAATTTGGCATATGTCAACATTTTAAATGCTTTATATATTGCCTCATAACTCTGTTTATTGCCATATATATTGTTGTACAACTCTGTAATTGTTGTACCAACTATATTCCAATTTTCCAAGCAATCTTGAGACAGTATTGAAAAATATTTAAGACAGGTTAGAACAGAAATAAGATTGTTTAATGTAGATCAATAAAATTTTTCTATTGACATGCTGTTAAAGTTTTCGAAAATACAATAATTTTGTTTATCTTAGTATTTTAAAAGATTTATACATTAACTAACTTTGTGTAACTCTGTATATTGTTGAAATCAAAACTTTTTTTCAATTTTGTTATTCTTGAGACTAGACCTGAAAATAAGTACTCGCAATTCGCCACTTGGCAAGTCAAAAAAAAAAAAAAAAAAAGAAAAAAAAAGTGACGACAAAAACTAAATAAGCAATCGGTCATTTTTTTACCATTGCTTTTAAAATCGCTTAATGATAAAAGTACATTAATGTAGAAAGAGACTATGGAAAACAGAATTTTCATTAACATGTTTTATGTCTCCATTCAAAATTTTGAAAATTTAAAATTTGAATCTATCAATTTGTGTTGGAAAGATTCGCGTGGAAGGAGAGTTTTTTTTTAACAATTCTCGTATTTCAAAGTTGTAATACGTACATTTAATGCATTTTGCCTCCACAAATACTTTTACATAAAGTTCTTCAATATATCAGTATATTCAACTAAATGTTGTCATATATTTATAATATTTTTACTGCTGAATTAACTTTTTATAGTCGTAGATTATTTCTAATCTAATTTTTTTAAAAAATATAAATAATATAATTCAAGGAAAAAAGAATTTGAGAAAATTGAATATTAAATGAAAAGGACCGATCGATATTGGTTCACCGAGTCATTAGGTTTGAGGAAAAATTGGCTAATAAGTCATCAGAGTCTACCGGCCGCTGACAACTAACTGAAAATTTAAATTTTCAGCTCCACTTGAGACAGTATAAAAAAGAACTAAACAGGTTACAATACAAATGAGATTCATTAAATGAGATAAAATTTGCTGGAAACTTACTGTTGACAAAATAATCTTTTTTCCATATGAGATTTCAAGATATTTTTTGCATCCAGTATTATTTCCTTAAGAAAACAACGTACACAAGTTTAACCTGTTTTTAAACAATGAAAAATCTATTTAAACAATTTAAAAAGAGTAATATATATACATAATTTTAGGGTAAACTTCAAATTATTGCCATGGTTTTATATCATTAAGAAGTTTGCTAAAAATTAAATAATCAATAAATCAAATAATCAGTAAATTGAATAATCAATAAATTAAATAATCAGTATAAAATAGTGTTAATATTTTTAGAACATAAATTTAAATGCTGGGTGTTCCGATGTTTCTTCCTCAACCAATTGGGACAATTTGTTCAAATAAATAAGCACTTAATATAATTATTAAAATTTCCATCACCTTAACTGACACTAACTATAGTGTTTCTAACTAACTATAGCGTTTCTTATTTACTCATCTGTAACGGTTTTACCTAAAGGAAATAAAATTAACTTGAATTTTTGTATTCTTAAACTTGATAAATTTAATAAATTTCAGATTTTCAATTAAATAATAAAATGAAAAGCATTAAATTTGATTTTTTGGAAGTACAATAATGTTTTTAAATGATTGCAAGTTTTACAAGAAAACAGTATTTTGTTAAAAAAACCAAAAAAAAAAAAAAANAAAAAAAAAAAAAAAAAAAAAAAAAAAAAAAAAAAAAAAAAAAAAAAAAAAAAAAATCTGATTCAAATTTATAATAAACAATAATTCACAATTACATTTATAATACAATCTTTCAAAATGAAAGATGAAAGATCTTATTTGATTTTTTTAAGTGCTGTATTGCATGATATAGTTATTTTCATAAATTTATTACTAAGTGCTTTTAAGAAAGGGAAATAAAAATGCAAGAAATAATAGCGCTACTCGTACGTCTCTATAAAAAATCTTTTCTAAACATGTTGATCTCAAATTTTGAATCTCAAGATCTTCATTTAAATATGTAAAATTATTATTTTAATTTTGCATCGAAATGATGTGCTTACGTGAAAATAAGTCACCGTTTTTATCATTGTGTTGTCATATTAGATCTTCAAAGTTATATTATTATTATATTTTGTCAGCTGCATTATGATAAGAATTATTTTCACTGAGAATAGAAGGAAAATGCACCAAATTCATATCAAAGCGTAGTTTTTATGTAGAGGATTACTATTTAATTTACATTTGCGTCTAAATTACATTAAAAAAGGACCATATAAAGAAGACAATAGGAAAACAATAGTATAATCGAATTAAAACTTTAAAGTGATATATTATTATAATAGTTTTATTTTAATAATAATAACAGTTGTAATGTTTTTTTTGTCCAGAATTCTATATGGTTTAAGATTAGTTTTATAATGAAATGAGACTAAATGCATCATAAAAGCCCGTACATACAAAATCCTATATTTATTGGGTAGTTTTGTAAATTTTCTTTTTATATTTAGTTTTGTAATTTTCTTTTCTGACACAACTAGCTTTAAAACAGGAGTTATAAAACAATTCTTTTAAGTGCCACAGTTGTTTTTAAGTTTATTTTCATTAAAATGAATCTTGTTGAAAATTCCATGAGTTGAAAACGAGTAGGCGTATCAAAGAGGATGCAGTTAAATTACATTTTCAAACATAATTTAAGTTGCGTAGCTTTTGTATTTCCAACAATAATCTTTCTTTGAAATGTTGTTCTAAAAAGTATGCATGTAAAATTGTTATTTTATTCAGAACTTCACTTTTTTGTTCTTGTGTGAAGTCTAACCGTTTATAACTATGCATCATTGTAAGGCCTGTCATTAACAACCTTTTTTCTCTTCGTTATTCAAGGACATTCAGCTTGATATATCCTTTCAAACAAATGTTCCCTAAAGGGCAAATAAAAATGGAATTATTTAATTTTATTTCGTTGAATAAATGTTCTGTATTATATTTATGTTTTACTGAGAAATTTCGCCAAGACTTATTGTAATTATCTACGATATCAGGTAATATATATTATTTTAAATTATTAAAAATTCTTATTTCGACGTACTATTTAAATTTTATAAGTTTTTAGAGATAATTGGATGTTAAGTTTATTATTATTATGAATCATCATAAATTTTAAAATTGCTACAAGTAATTCAAGTATTCTTTAGATATTTCTATGTGATTTAGCTATTTGTAAAATTGTATTTTCTTAATTTAATGAACCTTTTTAATAAGTTTCATTTATTTCATGAAAATCTAGGAAAATTAACAAAAAGTAATAAAGTAATTAAATAGGAGCATTATGAAGCAAAGGTAATAGCTGTGTATCTACGCTGATCCTACGTATTGAAATGTAATGTAAAATTTAAGTTGATGAATGTTTGCAATACGATTTAAATTACTGTTATTATCCAAAAAATCGTTTTTTCTAAAAATTTTGATTCAGCTCTGATAATAAAAAGAGAAAATTATCTTCTAGAAAAAAATTTTTTATATATTACAACAGAAATATGAATAAAAATAGATTGCTTTATTTTTGTAATTGTTAAGCTTTTGAATTTTTTATGCTATCTTAAAACTTACATGCATATTCTTTCCGACTTTTTGAAGAGAATTTCTTACTTAATTTAAACTTTTATCTCTACTTCTTCTTGACTGATTTTTTTCTTAGGCATTAATTACTCGTTGGTATTAATTACTCGTTGATTAATTACTCGTTACTCAATTTATTATCAGAATTTATAAATTTAACTGCTTAAAATATTCATAATTTTGAGAAGTTTCAAGAATTTATAATTTTTTAAACATGTTTGATGGTTGATTATTGCTATAATAATTATAATAAATATAACGTAGCAAGAAAGGAAACTACTTGTAAGCGGAAGAAAGCATATATATCTTACATCCGGTGAATTCGAAAAACATAAATATTTGGAGTGAATTAAATAAAGTTAAATTACATCTGGTTAAATGTAAATAAAGATTATTTATTGTATTTTTTAATCCTTAAATTATTAAATACTTCATAATTATGGTAAATTACACCGGCATTTTTTAGCTCTCAACAATTCTAAGACGATTAAATAATTTCCTTTGAGTATTTTTCATTGATTAAAAATATTATTATTTTTTTATTTTAAAAGCTTGACCAAAGTCGATTATTAATAATAAGAGCATTTTTGAGATTGAAAAGTATTTAGTATACCAAACTCAATCATAAATTTGAGAATTTTATTCTGACATTCAAAATATTTCTATACTTGTTTATTTTGCCTAAAGTTTTAATTATTTTATTAAAGTTTTTTGATTTTGCCGATTACGCGATATTTGCATTCATTTTAAATTTTGGATTATAAATGTACAACGAAAAGTGTACAGTACATTTCCATAAAAAATAGTATGTAAACAGTTTAAATTATGTTAAAAGCTAGCTAGAAAAATAATGAAATCTCCAGGTGCTTACAGTTTCTTTACTTTGGTATTTGGAAAAATATCAAAAAATTACTGTTTTGCATTAAGGCAGGAAACTATATTATTGTAATCGGTAAATATAAATCAAACTGCACTAAAAGCATTTACCACGGGATATGGTTAATTAATGCTTAGTGATGATGTACCAGGTTTAGTGTTTTTTTTTCGGAATTACATTAACAATACTAAAACGGTACCACTTCATGGAAAATAGCAAATTTACTGACATTAAGCTATTTTTATATTATATTATTTTTACATTAAGCTATCAATGAATGATGATAAAAAAATACTGCTCGTGCTTTTGAAGTAATTCAGAAAAATAATAAGTTTGAAAGCTTGTTTTGTCAGTGGGAAATTATTTATCTTTGTAAGAATTATTAGGGGAGTATAAGAATATTAAATGAAAAAAGAAGCTTTTTAAAGTAATTGTTATGTTAGATTTTAAGTAAAATTGATGGTATTTTAACTCAATATTTAATGTAGAAGAATTAATAAAATATGTAAGGTATGTTAAAAAGAAGAAATGAAAAATTCTAATTTTATGAAGAATATATTTAAAATGTAGCATTTGTAAAAAGTTTTTTTAGAAAGTTTCTTTGCTAGAATTTTTATAATTCACCAATTTAACAACAATGTTACTACTTACCTCAAAGTAAATTTTAATAAAATCTAAATGACAGATTTAATTTTAAAAGTCATTTAATAGATTTTAAACTAATGATTGATTAAATCACTCACGAAAGCAGAGTTATAAATATATACTTTTTGCTGGTGAAATTTCTAAAAGGATAAAAATGCTAGAAGGATGCAGCTGTTTCGGTACTATGGACGGTACTATCACTGCCAAAAGAGTAAATGAAGGAAAACCACAGATAAATATATATATGGAGAATATGTAGGCCAGGGAAAAATCAACCAATCCGGAAAAGGATTAAATGGACAGATTATTTTCGGAGCGATGAACTAGAAAAAGCAGGATTAGGAAGAACAAAATCTAAATCAAAGTCTTGCCTGCTACAGAAAATTGCGTAGGAGGTGAGTTCTAGTCTTAGGATTTGATTAAACCCAAGCGGCAGGCAAATGTTTAGTCAAAATAAGCTTTAAAAAGATAACTACTAGACCATTCATATTTAATGATTTAAATTAACTGAAAAGCAAATCTGCACTTCTTTAGATAGGCAAGTTCTAATAAACATGTTTCACTAAACGTTAGAACACTAGGGAAGAAATTTTTTGTTATATTTATTCATGTTCTAATTCGGGTGTGGTGATTTCAAAATGTAAGTTAGTTTTGTTCCGAAATATACAGGTTTTATCAAAATTATATTTTTATTTCTTAATCGAATGTTTATAATAAAACGTATAGCTTTAAATACGTACATCTATGCCTGTCTTCTCCTTTGAAAATAACATTTAAGATATAAAAACACATGACTTTAACACATAAACTGAATCGTATTATCGTCTTCTTACCCTTCCCTACGTAGCAGAGTTGTAGGGGTACATAGAAGCACTCGAGTGAGTTTAAAGAAAACCGGATAGAGAATATGACATTAAATTGATATTAAATCAAGAATTCAAAAATTTCTCCGTTATCAAAAATTAGAGAAATCTTTTGCATCT